CGCTTCGAGACCCGCCTGGGCAGCGAGACCGCATTTCTACAATAAATCAAAAAATTAGCCAGGCATGGTAGTGCGTGCCTGTAGTTCCTGCTACTCGGAAGGCTGAGGCGGAAGGATCGCCGGAGCCCAGCAGGTCGAGGCTGCGGTGGCCGGGAGCGGCCACTGCACTCCAGTCTGGGTGACAGAGTGAGACTCCAACTCAAAAAAACAAACAAAACAAAGCAAAACAAAAAAAATCAAAATAAATAATTAGCCGGGCATGGTGGCATGTGCCTATAGTCCCAGCTCGGGAGGCTGAAGCCTGATACGAGGCTGAGGCTGCAATGAGGCATCATCATGACACTGCATTCCAGCCTGGGTGACAGAGTGAGACCCTGACTTAAAAAAAATACACTCACACACAAGCTAGAATATATCTACTCACAGTGGCTATCTCTAGGGAGTGGAAATGGTAGGAAAGAAAACATTTTACTACATATTCTTTTATTCAGTTTTTTCATTTTTTTTTTTTTTTAAATTTTCCTGGGCTTTCACATTTGTTGATTTTTATTCGCGATCTCTTTTTCAATACAATTTACAACCTCATCCCCATTTCCAGCCTGATTATACAAGTGCTAGGTAGCAGAAAAGTCTAGAATAAATACACCAAAAGAGAAAAAAAAAAGCAAAGCTGTGAAACTAAGTTGCATGCAACAGGTTCTATAAGGACAAGAGAAGTGTCTGAAAAATAAAAGAGAGAGTAAGACACCGTAACTGGAAGGTTTTAGCTAAAGTTCTCTCATTCATCTTTGTCTTTCGCTTCATGCTTAAGGATGTGCGTGAACTCGATGTAGCTGAAATCCCCCTTTTGTCGACAGGTGCTTCTCCGAACAGTTCATCCACTTCCTCATCTGAGAGCCGGTCCCCCATGGCTGTCCGCAGCTCTCTCGGGTAATCTTCCTGGATGTGCCTGTTGCTTCTTCATCAAAGCAAGCAAAAGCATCTCTGATGGCATCTGCAGGATCTGCGCCATTTAACTTCTCACCAAACATGGTGAGGAACATGGTGAAGCTGATGGGTCCTGGGGCCTCATTCATCATAGCATCGAGAGAGGCCATCAGGGCATCAGTGGGATTCTCCCTAGAGAAGCGAGCATATCATGCAAATCTTCCTTGTCGATGAAACCATCTCTGTTCTGATCAATCATATTGAAGGCCTCTTAACTCCTGGATCTGTGACTGGTCAATCATGGCAAATACATTGGCTGTTGCGTGCTGAGGGTGCTTCTTGGTGGCCTTGGTCTTTGCCTTTTTGCTTGACATGGTGGCTGTTTAATTCCAGTGTCAACCACCAGAACCGGGGCTGCCCTGCGCGAGACGAGGAGGGGTGGCGAAGAGCGCTGGGTTGTCAGTTTTTTCATTTCTAAAAATGTGTATACATTTTTTGACACCCTCTGTATACTTAAGTATATATAGATATACACATACAAATTAAGCAATACTCCTCCTAAGCCTCAATCATGTATACTGTGTGAGCTTCCAAACATGATGGGAAAATGGAAGCAGAGCTAAACTACTCCCTAAGTAATATTTCCACTGGTCAGGTACTGTGCTGAGCACTTCTCAAAGTGCTTAGCACAATCTCAATCCCAACAACTGCACAAGATTCTATGTTTTCTAGTCATCAACACTGAGTAACTGCAGGTGTACATGCCTGCTCCAAGTCTTGCGTCTGAACCACCACATGCCTTCTCTGGCTCACATAATGTCTCCTCGTCCAGCCCTTTGCTTGGGGACTACCCCATCTGAGCTCCAGGCACAACAGACCAGGCCATCCTGCAAAGCTCAGGGACATCAAAGCACAGAAGGGCAAGAGAGCTAGTCAGATGACCCGAGTGCCAGCTCTCCAGATGCTGCTGACTAGCTGGAGATCCCACAGGCATCACAACAAATTCTCATCATGATGCAAGGGAAACAGGCATTCCAAGATGGAAGCATCAACTGGAACTACTTTTCAGGATGGCAGATAAGATGAATTAAAAGTAGAAGTCTTAGAATTGAGACCCTCAAGTCCAAGCAAAGTAAAAGTGACAAAGGAGTTCTTGTTATTGTTGTTTTGTTTTAAAAATACAATCCAAGCTGGGCGCAGTGGTTCACACCTATAATCTCAGCACTTTGGATGCCAAGGCAGGAGAAATGCTTAAGCCTAGGAGTTTGAGAACAGCCTGGGCTTCACAGCAAGATGTCATCTCTACAAAAAGCAAAAAAATGAGCTGGGCATGGTGGGGCATGCCTCAAGTCCCAGCTACTCATAAGGCTAAAGTGGAAGGATCGCTTCAGCCCAGGAGTTTGAAGCTGCGGTGAACCAAGTTCATGGATGATGCCACTGCGCTCCAGCCTGGGCAACAGAGTGAGACACTGACTTAAAAAAAATTAAGCCGGGCTCTGTGGCTCAGCCTGTAATCCAGTGCCTTGGGAGGCTGAGGTGAGTGGATTGCCTGAGCCCACGGGTTCGAGACCTGCCCGGGCAACTTGGTGATACCTCATCTCTACAATAAATCAAAAAATCAGCCAGGCGTGGTAGCACATGCCTGTAATTCCAGCTACTTGGAAGGCTGAGGCGGAAGGATCGCCACAGCCCAGTAGGTCGAGGCTGCGGTGGCTGGGAGCGGCCACTGCACTCCAGTCTAGGCTATAGAGTGAGACTCCAACTCAAAACACAAAACAAAACAAAAAAATTAAAAAATACAACCCAAAAATGATTATTTGGGTTCAAGTCTATGAGAATCAGAGTATTATCATGGGGAGGGAAGATGTCAAGCCGCTACAGAAGAGTTTCTGGGATACCTGCAATGGTCATCAAGGAGGGATCAACTGCACCCCATCAAATCTGACAGATTTTCAATGCAGGTGACACAATCTGTCTTGGAAAGATGCCTTCTAGAACACTGATCAACAAAGAGGAGAAAACTAAATCCGGTTCTGAGGTATACTACAGGGGTGCTGTGAATTTGAACTTCTCTTGGACACTGGCAGTCTAAAGCTACCACAGTAAGTATTTTGTAAACAGAAATATTTATATGCTTATAAAGACTAGAATAACCATCCACTGAAATAATAAAAAGCAGTTATCCCTGAGTGATAGAATTACAGGTTACTCTTTTACCCACTGTTTATACATTCTTTCATTTTTGTATCAAGGATATAAGTAACTTAGTATAACTTAGCAATCAGGGAAAAAGCTATAAATCTAAGACAAATAAGAGAATGATTCCAGCAATTTTTCTTCAGTGTTGGATCACCAGAGACTGAACATCAGACCATTAAACTTGAGACTTTCCGTCCTTGCCTAATGATTGGATACCCAAGATACTGGTCTATGCTCCCAGGCCTCTGCCCCACTCTGTACTGTCTTTCTAACCTATAGCTGCTCTTGTTCCAGTCACCACCTCTCAAAGTGCTGTGCATGGCTCCTTAGAACTACCAAATTACCATTTTTTTTTTTTTTTTTTTGAGTTGGAGTCTCACT